TTGCATCACTGCACTCCAGCCTGGGTGACAGAGCCAGACCCTGTCTCAAAAAAAAAAAAAAGCTATTTAATTTTTTTTTTTTTTTTTTTTTGAGACGGAGTCTCGCTCTGTCGCCCAGGCTGGAGTGCAGTGGCCGGATCTCCGCTCACTGCAAGCTCTGCCTCCCGGGTTTACGCCATTCTCCTGCCTCAGCCTCCTGAGTAGCTGGGACTACAGACGCCCGCCACCTTGCCCGGCTAGCTTTTTGTATTTTTTAGTAGAGACGGGGTTTCACCGTGTTAGCCAGGATGGTCTCGATCTCCTGACCTCGTGATCCGCCCATCTCGGCCTCCCAAAGTGCTGGGATTACAGGCTTGAGCCACCGCGCCCGGCAATATTTAATATTTTTAAATGTGTTTGAGGTCAGGGCAATAACTGAATGTCCAGACAAGTTATTTCAAAGTACAATTTTGGGAAAACTCATATTTCATCTGTAAGTTATGGTGGGACATTTGTTTAAAGTATCAGTTTTTCTTTGTGCAAATGAAGTGATCTTCCAATTTTAATTTTTTATATCTTCAGAGGAAATAATCGTCATGCTGTATAGATACAAGATTCCTTGTTTTGGTTTTTTATAATGAAGAGTTGAAGGTTTATATATTTTAATTTTCTTCATGAGAAATTGGAAATGGTAAAATGGGATGTCTTTTATGTCTGTGCGAATTTCTCCTTAAACAATTTTTCTAAGATGGTGGAGTTACCTTAGGAATGGTGCTTTTATGTGAAGCTGCTACCTCTGACATGGATATTGGAAAGCGAAAGAGTAAGTCACCTTACTCAAAATGTAACAGTGCTGCCTGTAATATGGAAAAAGAGTGATCTCTTAATCACTTTTCCTCTTACCTATAGGATAAGTAGGTTATTTTACCCCTTTACTATTTTTTCTTTAAATGTTGTGTCTGTTATTAAACCCCTTTACTATTATAAAAGTAGTATATGCTCTATAGAAAATGTAAAAAAAAAAAAAAAAAAAAAAAAAACAGAAGCATGAAGCATTTATTCCACCACTGAAAAACTAATTATTTGTAAACTGAAATATATTTCTTTGTACTTATAAAAACATCTTAAAAACTATATATATAAAATTTTGACACTTCACACCCCCCTTTTAAACTGGAGTTAAATAACTAATAACTTTTTCTATATACGTAATTTTAAACTTATACTCTGTTTTTGTTTGTTTTAAGACAGGGTCCCACTCTGTCACTCAGGCTGGAGTGCAGTGGCATAATCATAGCTCACTGTAACCTCCACCCCTAGGCTCAAGCTGTCCTCACACCTCAACTTCCGTAATAGCTGGGACTACAGGCATGTGCCACCATGCCCAGCTAATATTTTGTACTTTTTGTAGTGATGGGGTTTTGCCACTTTGCCCAGGCTGGCCTCAAACCCCTGGACTCAAGTGATCTTCCCACCTCAGCCTCCCAAAGTGTTGGAATTACATGCGTGAGCTGCCGTGCCTGGCCGACTTATACTCTATATTGTAATTTAAGTATTCCAATTTTTTTCAATGTTTAGTTTTTTCCTAATTTCAATTATAATTATTCTTCCGTAACTATCATGATACATTAAGCATCTTTTATTTTTATTTATTTATTTTTTTTTTGAGATGGAGTTTCGCTCTTATTACCCAGGCTGGAGTGCAGTGGTGCAATCTCAGCTCACTGCATCCTCTGACTCCCAGGTTCAAGAGATTCTCCTGCCTCAGCCTCCTGAGTAGCTAGGATTACAGGCACCAACCACCACGCCCAGCTAGTTTTTTTGTTTTTTGGTTTTGTGCTTTTTTTGTGTTTTTTTTTTTGTTTTTTGTAGTTTTCATAGAGATGGTGTTTCACCATGTTGGCCACGCTGGTCTCAAACTCCCGACCTCAGGTGATCCACTCGCCTCGGCCTCCCGAAGTGCTGGGATTACAGGCATGAGCCACCGAGCCCAGCCATCATTCTTATTTTACGTTGTTTCCTTCAGGTAGATTCCTAGAAGAAGAATAACTGTGTGATCCTCTGTCTATTTTCAATTCTCTTGATGTTTTAATCATTAGAGATTACTTTGGCAAGTTAAAATAATTTAGATTTCTACTACTGGTATTTAAGAATGTTTGTTTCAGCCGGGCACAGTGGCTTATGCCTGTAATCCCAGCACTTTGGGAGGCCGAGGCGGGTGGATCACTTGAGGTCAGGAGTTAGAGGCCATCAAGCCTGATCAACATGGTGAAACCTTGCCGGGCATGGTGACTCATGCCTGTAACCCCAGCACTTTGAGAGGCTGAGGCTGGTGGATCACGAGGTCAGGAGATCGAGACCATGGTGAAACCCCATCTCTACTAAAAATACAAAAAAAAATTAGCCGGGCGTAATGGCAGGCACCTGTAGTCCCAGCTACTTGGGAAGCTGGGGCAGGAGAATGGTGTGAACCCGGGAGGCGGAGCTTGCAGTAAGCTGAGATCTTGCCACTGCACTCTAGCCTGGGCGACAGAGCGACTCTGTCTCAAAAAAAAAAAAAAACAACCATGGTGAAACCCCGTCTCTACTAAAAGTACAAAAATTTGGCCAGGCACGGTGGCTCACGCCTGTAATCCCAGCACTTTGGGAGGCCAAGGCAGGTGGATCATGAGGTCAGGAGTTCGAGACCAGCCTGGCCAACCTGGTGAAACCCCCGTCTCTACTAAAAATACAAAAATTAGCCAGGCGTGGTGGCATGTGCGTGTTAATCTCAGCTACTTAGGAGGCTGAGGCAGGAGAATCGCTTGAACCCAGGAGGTGGAGGTTGCAGTGAGCCAAGATCGCACCATTGCACTCCAGCCTGGGTGACAAAGCAAGACTCCATCTCAAACAGCAAACAACAAAAAAAAATTAGCCAGGCATTGTGGCGCATACCTGTAATCCCAGTTACTTGGAAGGCAAGGCAGGAGAATCACTTGAACCTGGGAGGCGGAGGTTGCAGTGAGCTGAAATCGCGCCATTGCACTCCAGCCTGGGCTACAAGAGTGAAACTTCATCTTAAAAATTAATAATAATAAAGAAGGATAATAATGTTTCATTGTTTTTTTTTTTTTTTTTGAGACGGAGTCTCAAAACACTTGTCGCCCAGGCTGGAGTGCAGTGGTGCGATCTCGGTTCACTGCAAGCTCTGCCTCCCGGGTTCATGCCATTCTCCTGCCTCAGCCTCCCACAAGTAGCTGGGACTACAGGCGCCCGCTACCATCCCCGGCTAATTTTTTGTATTTTTAGTAGAGACAGAGTTGCACCGTGTTATCCAGGATGGTCTCGATCTCCTGACCTCGTGATCCGCCCGTCTCAGTCTCCCAAAGTGCTGGGATTACAGTCATGGGCCACCGCGCTGGCCGTTTCATTGTAATTTTATCAACATTAATCTCATAAATATGTATCTGTTTTATAGATACATATAGATTTGCTAATCAGATAAGGTGGAAATATATTATTTTGTACTACTTTTATTGTTATAAGGTCAAATATTTTCCTAAATGTTTATTAGTCATTTGTGTTTATGTTTTTCCTTCTATAAATTGTCCTTTTATCTTTTCCATTTATCTGTTAGAGTCTTAGCCCTTTTATTTGGTTTGCAAGGAATTTTTTTTTTAATTTTCGAGACGGAGTCTTGCTCTGTCTCCCAGGCTGGAGTGCAGTGGTGCGATCTTGACTTACTGCAACCTCCGCCTCCCGGGTTTAAGCAGTTCTCCTGCCTCAGCCTCCCATGTAGCTGGGATTACAGGTGCACGCCACCACGCCCAGCTAATTTTTGTATTTTTAGTAGAGATGGGATTTCACCATGTTAGCCAGGCTGGTCTCGAACTCCTGACCTCATGATCTGCCTGCCTCGGCCTCCTAAAGTGCTGGGATTACAGGCGTGAGCCACCCTGCCCGGCCAGACTTTTTTTTTTTTTTTTTTTTTTCAAGGCAAGACCTTACTCTGTTGCCCAGGCTGGAGTGCAGTGCCGCAATAATGACTCACTGTAGTGTCGAACTCCCGGGCTCAAACAATCCTACTGCCTCAGCTTCCCAGGTAGCTATGACCACAGGCTCATGCTACCACTCCCACTTAATTTCATTTTATTTTTTGTAGAGATGGGGTCTCACTTTGTTGCCCAGGCTGGTCTGTATCTCCTGTGCTCAAGCAACCTTTCCCACTTTGGCCTCCCAAAGTGCTAAGATTACAGGCATGAACCACCATGCCCAGCCTGCATGAACTTTTTATATATTAGAATATTCACACATTGTTGTCTGTTACAGAGAGAAGCTAACAATGTAATTTGGTTTTACTTTCTTGAAATAAGTATAGGTCAAGATTTTCCTTTTATGATTAAAAAGTTAAATGTCAACCAGGCATGGTGGCTCACACCTGTAAATCCCAGCACTTTGGGAGGCCGAGGCGGGTGGATCGATCACCTGAGGTCAGGAGTTTGAGACCAGCCTGGCCATCATGGCGAAACCCCATCTCTAAAAAAGCAAAAATTAGCCAGGCATGGTGTCATGTGCCTGTAATCCCAGCTACTCAGGAGGTTGAGGCATGAGAATCGCTTGAACCCAGGAGGTGGAAGTTGCAGTGAGCCAAGATAGCACTACTGCACTCCAGCCTGGGTGACAGAGCGAGACTTCATCTCAAAAAAATAAAAATAAAAATGTTAAATGTCATCAAAATTACCCTACCTAAATAAAGTCTAATATTTACTTTAACTTCTAGAAAAAAGATGAAGATACTGAACTTCAAATTTGAGAAGTACTTGTTTTGCTCAATTAAAATAAATTTTTTTTAGCTGGATGTGGTGCCACACACTTGTATCCCAGCTACTTGTGAGGCTGGTACAGGAGGATGGCTTGAGGTCAGTGAGCTATGATCACACCACTGCACTTCAGTCTGGGCAGCAGAGCGAGACTCAATCTCTAAAAGCATAAATTAATGAATTTTTACATATTAGAAAAATATCAGTTTTTAAATTTTTTTTTTAAATATGGAACACTTCACGAATTTGCATGTCATCCTTGCACAGGGGCCATGCTAATCTTCTCTCTATGATTCCAGTTTTAGTATATATGCTGCCAAAGCAAGACTTTATCAGTTTTTAATCCAGTCAGTATACATCCTTTCACTGCCTGACTTTTTACGAGATCAGGCGCATTCAGGGTGCTATGGCTGTAGACTCTGCCTGACTTTTAAAAAATTGCCTGTTTCAGTGTTTATTCTTGGGAAAAGGCCATCAAAGTACACTGCTGACATGAACTTAAATTGTTAAACACTTTGGCAACATATACTGAAATAGTGACAATTTGATCTAAATTTCTTACCTAACAAAATGATCACAAATTAATAGATGTTTCTTTAGCATGTTCTGGGAACTGCTCTAAGCACTTTTAGATGTATGAAAAGAGGAGGATACAAATATATACAGAGTGATGCTATATATATGTATGTGCACATTTTCTTTTTCTTTTTTTTAAATTTGAGACAGGGTCTCACTCTGTCGCCCATGCTGGAGTGCTGTGGAGAGATCATAACTCACTGCAGCTTTGACCTCCCTGGCTCAGGTGATCCTCCCACCTCAGCCTCCCTACTGGTGGGACTACAGGCATGCACCTCCACACCTGGGTAATTTTTGGTAGAAATGGGGCCTCGCTACATTGTCCAGGCTGGTCCTGAACTCCTGGGCTCAAGCAATCCTTCTGCCTTGGCCTCCCCAAATGCTGTGATTTATAGGCATGAGCTATCACACCCAGTCTATGAGTACGTTTTCTTAGAGAATAAAAGGCTAACTTGTCTACACTGAGCATGTGTTAATACTCAGAAAAAATATTTTAATTTTTGTGGGTACATACTCGGTGTATATATTTATGGAGTACATGAGATGTTTTGATATAGTCATGCAATGTGTAATAGTCACATCACGGAGACTGCGGTATCCATCCTTCAAGTATTTATCCTTTGTGTCATAAACAATCCAATTATACTTTTTTAGTTATTTCAAAATGTACAATTAAATTTTTATTGACTGTAGTTATCCTGTTGTGCTATCAAATAGTAGGTCTTATTTATTCTATTTTTTTTGTACACATTAGCCATTCGTACCTCCCCCGGCATTCCCCAACTACCCTTCCCAGCCTCTGGTAACCATCCTTCTACTCTCTGTGTCCATGAGTTCAATTGTTTTGATTTTTTGATCCCACAAATAAGTGAGAACATGTGATTTTTTTTTTCTGTACCTGAATTATTTCACTTAATGATTTCCAAGGCTGGGCATGATGGCTCACTCCTGTAATCCCAGCACTTTGGGAGACCAAGGTGGGCAGATTATTTGAGGTCAGAAGTTCTAGACTACCCTGGCCAACGTGGTAAAACCCTGTATCTACTAAAATACAAAGATTAGCTGGGCGTAGTGGTGCATGCCTGTAATCCCAGCTACTTGGGAGGCTGAGGCAGGAGAATTGTTTGAACCTGGAAGGCAGAGGTTGCAGTAAGATGAGCTGGTGCCACTGCACTCCAGCCTGGGTGACAGAACGAGACTCCATCTCAGTAATAATAATAATTTCCAGTTCCCTGTTATTGCACGTGACAGGATCTTATTTTTTTATGACTGAATAGTACTCCATTTTATATATGTACCACGTTTTCTTTATCCGTTCATCTGTTGATGGACACTTAGGTTGCTTCAAAATGTTGGCTATTGGGAACAGTGCTGCAACAAACATGGGAGTACAGATATCTCTTTGGTATACTGATTTATTTTTCTATGGGTATATACCCAAGTAGTGGGATTGCTGGATCATATGGTAGCTCAATTTTTAGTTTTTTGAGGAACCTCCAAACTGTTCTCCTTAGCGGTTGTACTAACTTACATTCCCACCAACGGTGTACAAGGGTTCCCTTTTTTCCACATCCTCACCAGCATTTATTATTGCTTGTCTTTTGGATATAAGCCATTTTAGCTGGGGTGAGATGATAGATATCTCATTGCAGTTTTTATTTGCATTTCTCTGATGATCAGTGATGTTGAGTAGCTTTTTTATGCCTATTTGCCATTTGTATGTCTTCTTTTGAGAAACGTCTATTGAATTATTTTTTTTTTTTATCAGGTTATTAGATTTTTTTCCTGTAGAGTTGTTTGAGCTCCTTTTATATTCTGGTTATTAACCCCTTGTCAGATGAGTACTGTGCAAATATTTTCTCCCATTCTGTGGATTGACTCCTCACTTTGTTGATTGTATCCTTTGCTCTGCAGCAGCTTTTAAACTTGATGTGATCTCATTTGTCCATTTTTGCTTTGGTTGCCTGTGCTTCTGGGGTGTTATTCAAGGAATTTTTTACCAGACTAATGTCCTGGAGAGTTTCCCCAATATTTTCTTGTAGTTGTTTCATATTAATAGTTTGCAATCTTAGGCTGGACAATGTGTAGATTGCCTGTAATCCCAACGCTTTGGGAGGCCAAGGCGGGCAGATCACTTGAGGCCAGGAGTTTGAGACCAGCCTGGCCAACATGGTGAAACCCTGTCTCTACTAAAAATACAAAAATTAGCCGGGCGTGGTGGCATGTGCCTGTAGTCCCAGCTACTTGGGAGGCTGAGCAGGAGGATCGCTTGACCCAGGAAGTGGACGTTGCAGTGAGCCAAGATCATGCCACTGCACTCCAGCCTGAGCAACAGAGCAAGAATCTGTCTTTAAATATATATATATTAATATATAAATAAATATATAAATAAATATATATTAAATATATAAATATTATTAAATATATAAATATATAAATAAATATATATTAAATATATATATGGTTTACAGTCTTAGATTTAAGTCTTTAATCCATTTTGACTTGATTTTTCTATATGGCAAGAGATAGGGGTCTAGTTTTGTTCTGCCTATGGATATCCAGTTCTCCTGGCACCTTTTATTGAAGAGACTGTGTTTTCCCCAGTGTATGTTCTTGGCACCTTTGTCGAAAATGAGTTCACTGTAGGTGTATGGGTTTGTTTCTGAGTTCTCTCTCCTCTCCCATTGGTCTGTATGTCTGTTTTTATGCCAGTACCATGCTGTTTTGGTTACTGTAACTCTATAGTATAATTTGAAGTCAAGTAATATGATTCCTCCAGTTTTGTTCTTTTTGCTTAGGATCGCTTTGACTATTGGTCTTTTGTGATTTCATATAAATTTTATTTTTTCTATTTCTGTGAAGTTATCATTGGTATTTTGATAGGGATTGCATTGAATCTGTAGATTGCTTTGGATAGTATGGACATCTTAACAACATCGATTCTTCCAGTCCATGAACATGGAACATCTTTCCATTTTTTGATGTCCTCTTCAATTTCTTTCAGCAGTGTTTTATAGTTTTCATCATAGAGTTCTTTCACTTCTTTGGTTAAGTTAACCCTTTTCCCATTTGCCCTGAGAATACTCACCAGCAGTGCTTGTGGCTGCAGTGTTTACCCTGAGATAACTCTGCCACAAAATATCTTGCTTTAATTATTATTTTCACATCCACTCTAGTATATCAACTTTGGAAATAAAATTGATATGTCAGATATCACTGGGTTCAAGTGATCCACTACCACTACTGAAAACAGATTGCTGTAAATAGAGTAATATACTAGATATCATTCCATTTGTATTTCTATTATAGTGGTATTTCCATTTATAAAATATAGTAATTATTGATCACTGAAAATGTCAAATCCTAGAAAATGTAGCATTCCACGTGTAATGTTTACACCATTCTCGAACAGTTGTTGGCCAGAGATTCATTTGATGAATTCAATTTTTCTGAAATAGACAATTCTGATGATTCAGATGATTCTGATGTTCTGTTTAGTAATAACTCCAACAACAGTTTTTCTGTTTTAACATTGAAAATCAGATTTACGGCCGGGCGCGGTGGCTCAAGCCTGTAATCCCAGCACTTTGGGAGGCCGAGACGGGCGGATCACAAGGTCAGGAGATCGAGACCAGCCTGGCTAATACGGTGAAACCCCGTCTCTACTAAAAAATACAAAAAACTAGCCGGGTGAGGTGGCGGGCGCCTGTAGTCCCAGCTACTCGGGAGGCTGAGGCAGGAGAATGGCGTAGACCCGGGAGGCGGAGCTTGCAGTGAGCTGAGATGCGGCCACTGCACTCCAGCCTGGGCGACAGAGCGAGACTCCGTCTCAAAAAAAAAAAAAAAAAAGGAAAATCAGATTTACTTCGGCCTCAAAGAGCATGATTATGTAAAATTAAATGAGCATTGGCAGCAAGCTGCACTTCTTTTTTGTAAATGGGAAAAGAACTAGAGAAATATTGTTTAACATTTACACATTAGCCCCTAGTCATATTGTGTGAAAATTAGAAAAGGCAAAAGAATTGTTCCATAAGTAAAACAAAACTGAAAGTTGATTTTCTTTTCTTTTCTTTTTTTTTTTTCTTTTTTCTTTTTTTTTTTTTTTTGAGACAGACTCTCACTTTTTCGCCCAGTCTGGAGTGCAGTGGCGTGATCTTGGCTCACTTCAAGCTTTGCCGCCCAGGTTCAAGCGATTCTGCTGCATCAGCCTCCCAAGTAGCTGGGATTACAGGTGCCTGCCACCATGCCTGGTTAATTTTTTTCGTAGTTTTTAGTAGAGACAGGGCTTCATCATCTTGGCCAGGCTGGTCTTGAACTCCTGACCTCGTGATCCACCTGCCTCGGCCTCCCAAAGTGCTGGAATTACAGGCGTGAGCCACAGCACCCGACCGAAAGTTGATTTTCTTATCATTCACTAAGTAAGTTTCCCTAGAACAAGCTTGTCCAGTCTGTGGGCCACATGCGGCCCAACACAAATTTGTAAACTTCCTTAAAACATTATGAGGTGGTTTTTTTTGCGATTTTTTTTTTTTTTTTTTTTTTTTGCAGCTCATCAGTTTTCATTAGTATTAGTGTATTTTGTGTGTGGCCCAGGACAGCTCTTCTTCCAGTGCGGCCCTGGGAAGCCAAAAGATTGGACACCCCGCCCTAGAGCTTCCTTTGCTGTTGGACACATGCTTTCCTACATCCCTATCTCTATATTTCTTAGCCATTTTTAGTCCAGGGAGTCAAAGAGCCTCACGTCATGGC